AGCTGAGTCTATTAGCCTAAATATTGCTCTTATGTCCAGTTGCATGAAGTTTGGAATAATATTTTTCAAGCAGAACTACTGCTATTTCAGTAATTACGATGCTAAAAGCAGCCGTTTGGGGTGGAGCAAGGATCTCATCGCGGTCTGAATCCCTCTGGTGTCATTTTCTGTTATATTTGAGAAATTCCTCAATAAAGATGTCAAACAGAGAGAGGGTTTTGTTCCCCAGAGGACAGACTTGGCCAACCTCCAGGACACAGTCCCAGGCAAGCCATCTCCACAAGAAAATAACCTCTTTTGCTCAAAAGAAAAGAAAAGGTTCAACTGTGAAAACTCTGGCAAGAAAATAACCCTTAAGCCGTCAGCCTCATTTCTCCTAATTAACTTGGAATGCTTCTCAACCTCCCGACCGGGGTTCATCCCAGCCTCGTCCCTCAGGAATCCTGCGCTGGTTGAGAGGAATGTTACACCCAGACGAGACTCCTGACCCAGACTTTTGGGGACAGAACAGGAGATGCAAAGCCGCCCACTGTCCCTGATGGGTGAGGGGTTGTGGGTGGGGCCCAGGGAACTGACCGGAGGCGGTCAGGCCTGCACAAGGCAGTCAGAACCTCCTAGCACTCGGCCTCTCGCAGCCCCCAGCACCCATGGGGGCAGGCTTTCTGCTGGGAGCACAATTACTCCCGAGGCCAAGTAGGCAGGCACACAACCAAAGCGGACTGGGGGTGAGCAACAGAAGTGGTGGGGACTGTAGCAAACAGGAGAGGCCACCCCCACCCAAAGGGGACACAGCTCCTCCCCCTGGCCTCGACCCCAGGCTCTGGGGGATCCCCCTCTGCCTGTCCTGTGGCTGCAGCTCTCCCCATGGAGTCAGAAGTCCACAGAGGGTCACGTGCACCTGGAATCCCTATCTGCCCTTCTAGACCACATTCTGGGTTCTGGAGACCCCACAATTCCCTGCCCGAATGGCCCACGCCTGTCCGTTCTCTGAGGGACAGATGACACTTAGGACCAAGCAGTAGCAAAAGGGAAAGGAGGGTTGGGGGCCAAGAGCCAGAGCTTGAGCGTCAGACGGTGTGTCCCAGGCCCCTGTGGGCGGGAGAAAGCCAGGGGCGAGAAGGGGTGGGAGCAGGGTGGGTCACACCTCCACTTTCTGGCACAAACTCCAAGGAGACCAAGAATTCTAAATTCCAGTCTAACCTCTCCAGGCACAAGGTAGGAATACTTGTCAAGGTTGAACAGGCTGAACATATTCTAGTTCTGAAGCCTCGTAATGACTTTTACATATTTAGCCACATGGGATACGAGCCTCCATTGTATTTGTGCCAAAGCCCCATAAGCGCCAGGGGCTGGGGCCTGGCCAAGCAGGAAGAATGCTGGAAATACGGAGTTTTATGTTATTAGCCTTGGTGTTTTCAATGTCGGCAAATCATTCAATGATGATGACGATGATAAATGCTGTGGGGATAGAGCCAGGGTGCAGGCGGCTGAGGACTTGGCCGCCAGCCTGCACCTTCGGCACCAACAGGACACCACCCGGTACCTGGGCAGGGCCTCCCAGCTGCACACAGCTCGCCACAGCCACCTCCACAGGTAACTCGCAGTGACCTGACACAGGGACGACCGACCCACTTCAGCCAGGGGAACCGAAGCCTGGAGGGTTTGAGTAACTGGTCCCAAACCATCAGCTCGAGTGGCGGTGCGGAATGCGAGGCGACACCCTCACGCTGCCAGCCCACTCCCACAGCGCCCTCTGTGTCTGCCGCTCTTTATCGGGCCTTGTGATCCCGACACTGACCCCCGCACTCAACTCCTACAGCATTTCCCGGGTCAGGGAGCTGAGGCTCCGAGAGGTCCCGTGGCCAGTGTGGTTTGGGTCTGTTGGTACCAAGATCTGACTTCTCTAGAGCGGAGTTGTGTCTTGAGAAGGAAAAAGCACACAGAGTCCGCCGGGAAGGGCCTGCCCTCGGCTGAAAGCAGAGAAGAGAGAGAACCTTTCTGGGCCGCCCTGTGTGCGAGTGCGAGCTGCACGCAGTCCAGTCTGTGCTCGGCGGTGGGTGGGGACTACCCGGTCCTTTAAATTAATCCGTCTCAACAGGAGCCGCTGTGAAGATAATGCTGTTGAAACAGAGACCCGCACAGATTCCACCCCTAGGCTGGAGGCGCTGGTGGACCTGCCTCAGCCAAGAACAAAGGTGCAGCCACGCGACCTGCACAGGTAAGAGCGCTGTGGCCAGAGGGCCGGGGGCTCAGACACGGCCCGGGTGTGGACGGCGAGCTTGAGCCCCACCAGGTCTGGGAGGCAGGAGACAGCCCACCTCATTCATCTCCCCGAGGGGCGGCGATTAGACGGCCGCTTCACTCGAGTGCCCAGTGCATGCTGCTAGGTGCTCCACACCCACGATCACGTTCAGTCCGCGCAGAACCCTGACATCAGGGACTCCAAATCCCACTTCACGGGGGTGGGGGGTGGGGTGGGGGGGGCGGGAACTGAGGCACGGGGGAAGTGACTGGCGAAAGGTCACACAGCTGAGAGCCAGCAGGGCCAGACTGGAGCCCAGAACTGGCAGCCCCCAAGATCCGTCCGCCTGACCAGGGGGTGGTCCTGCCTGCTGTGCACAGCCCTGCCAGCTCTGCCTTCGCAGACTAATCAATACAGAAACGTGCTCTTTCCGTCGCCTGCAAAGGGGGCAGACTGGTAAAGCTAAGGGCTTACACTTTGGGGGGGGACTCAATAGATAACACTTGGACGGTAATTAGCTCGGCATCTGGCACAATAAATGCTGTACAGCCCGTTCTTTACAATCTAATCAAAGGCTCTGCGCACTTCCGCAGCCCCACCTCCCAGGCTCCTGCCACCCACCCGGAGCCTGGCCTCAGAGCCACCCACCGCTTGCTACACGGGCTGTGCCCTCGGCCCAGCAAGCTGCTCCCCAGCCTCTGGAGACCCTGCTCAAGGCAGCCTTCTCCGTAAAGCACCCCCCCCCGCCCCCCCGCCAAGGAGTCAGCCCTCCTTCCACCCCCACCCTCGCAGGGTAGCTCTTGCCAGGCCCCTCTGGGCTTCAGCAGCCTGCCGTCCAGACGTCCGTTTCAGAGCTCACTGTGGGTGTAATTCCCTGTCCACAGACCTGTTTCCGTAACAAGCCCACCCGAGATCCAACAGGCATTGAACAGAAACAGGCAGGGAACCCAAGGTGAATACACCACGAAGAGGAGAGGCCCCGAGCACGTGGGACATCACGCCCCGTGCCACCCACCAGCCACCAGCTGGCACGGGGCAGGGGCGCCGAGGGCTTCAGGGAGCGCTGCAGCGAAAGCCATAAAGAATCCAAAGGATCCTCTCACCCAGCAGTTCCACTTCCGGGAAGAACTGCTAAGGCAACAATTAGGAAAACGAGGGGGGAGGTTTATGCCCAGAATCACTGCTCGACTCTCATGGTTAAAAACAAACAAGGTAAGCAAACAACCTAAATGTCCACCCACCAAAGGGTGGCCGATCACCTAGAGCAGCAGTTGCCACTGGTGGTCCGTGAGGTCCGAAAGGGCGGCCGCTGACCTAGAGTGACACTCACGCCTGCCTGTTGACTATTGCACCGACTAAGTGCCGGCCACTTCGCTCTCACACCTGGTGAAGCAGGCAGCATGGCTGCGCCTGTTCGCAGCGGGGAAGCCCGAGGCTCAGAGGCCAGGATGACAGTAACAGCCACTGAGTGTGGAGAGCCTGTGAGGGCACGCACGCTTCCCAGCTCCCTGACATGATCTCAGTTACTGAGGCTCTTCACAGCCCCCCTTCACCAAGGAGGGACCGAGGCCCAGGGACATCAATAGCTATTCACAAAAATAAAAGTTTTAGGATTGTTCCAAAAAAACCCCAAAACTATTCACAGCCACACTCCTGCCACATCCATGGTCTTATCCCTGGGCTCCAGCCCTCCGGCCCAGGGTCACTCAGCCGCCAGTAGCAGACCAGTGCTTAGGGGACCTTGCGATCTACAAGGAAAGGAACCCCTGAGGCTACTAGAAGCTGGGAGAGGAGCCCAGAAGATTCTCCCTCGAAGCCCTGGGAGGAACCGCTGCTGACACCTTCTCTTCAGACCTCTGGCCTCCAGGCTGGGAGAGAAGAAACTTCTGCTGTTTAAGCCCCTCAGTGTGTTACTTTGTTACAGCGGCCTCCGGCCTCCGTTATTCGCGGCTTATCAGACTATGAGGCAACTGGAAAAATGGCGATAGCTGGGGGGCCAGGTAAACATACCTGAGCGAGGCTCACATGATCTCCAAGGGAAAGCCAAGGGACCAAACCACGCTGACCACTGATTACTACAGTGAAATCACACCTGGGAGCAGGGAGGAGCCTGAGAGGAAGTACACGTAACTAAGACGCTTCCTAATTTTTTGTCCCTGTTCTACATGTTTCCAATTTTATCCAGCAAGCTGGCATCACTCTGATACATTTTATACAACTGGCTTACAATATGCAACTGAACCATGAGACTCTGCAAGTATAGCAGAATCCTTGCTATGGGGTGAATTGTACCCCCCCTCCCTCCCTCCCCCCAGATCTCCAGTACCTCGGCACATGACTGTTTAAGACGGGGCCTTTTCAGGGGCAATTAAATTGTAAATCGGTTAGGATGGGCCCTGCTCCAATAAGACTGGAGTCCTCATAAGAAGAGGAGATTAGGACACACAGAGAAAGACACCAAGGACACGGACGCACGAATGACCATGTGGACACCCAGTAGGGAGGTGGCCATCTGCAAGCCGAGCTGAGAGGCCTCAGAAACAAAACCCAAAGAGCCGAACTTTGACTTGAGACGTCCAGCCTTGAGAACTGCGAGAAAAGAACTTGCTGTTGCGTAAGCTCCCCGGTGTGTGCTCTTCTCTTACGGCAGCGCCGGTAAACTCAACACAAAGGACCGAGGGAGAGCCGGAGCCGGCCTTCCCACGCGCCCCACGCGGCAGCCGGAGCGCAGGCACAGGCGGGGGCGCTCAGCACTCACCCAGACAGTTGTGTCCGTCGTGCGCCAGCATGAAGCCGTCGAAGCAGGTGCACCGGTAGTTCCCCGGGATGTTGATGCACTCGTGCACGCAGCCCCCGTTGTAGGAGTCGTTCTCACACTCGTCGATGTCTGCAAAGTGAGGGGCACGAGAGGGGTCAGAGGAAGAGCCTGGGGTCCCCTCTCCCCCCCCTGCTGAAGGCACCTGGGCATGACTGGCTAGGGGACGGCTCACCAGGCATTCACTGGAACCCTTGGTGGGGGCTGGGACCCAGCGGTGACAAAGGGCAAGATCCTGGCTCTGACCGAGGCTGACCACACCTTGCAGAGCTGGCAAGAGTCACACCCAGCTCAGCCTCCTTGGAAAGCCTCTGCACAATAACAGCACGTGGGGACCCTGTGTAGCCCCCAAACTGGATCTCTTCGCCCCTTTGAGAGCCTCCCACAGATGGAGAGCTCATTACTCACGAAACGGAGAATCAAATAGAAGGAACGTCGCATACCACCAAAAAGTGTAACCCCTGGAATGACCGCAAGTCCGCACACCCCTCCAAATAGCTTCCTTTCACATCAGCATCTGCATTCTCAACTTCTACCGCCCCAGTGTCCTCGTTAGAACAAAGGCTCTGTCTCACAAACAATGGCCAATAGCCTTGGTAAAGGTCACCCTTTTGCCGTTTTCAGTTTTTTTTTTTTTTTTTTTTAAATTCCCCTCAGGGTTCAAGGGGCTATCAGTCCTGGCGTTCCAGAGAGATCTGAGAGGCTCGGAGAGTAACAGGAACGCCCAGTTCACGTTTAACGAGCTGACAACACCATACACCGTATCCGTGTGTCTTTCAGTCCACACGGATCAGTGACGCAGGCGCCGTCACTATTCCAGCTTCCCGAGGGCGGCGGAGACGCGGAGGCACAGGGCGCCAGCACCTCGCCAAGGCCACACACTTACGAAGTAGGACACGTGGGCTTCGAACCGGCGCGGCCTGGCCGCATCTCAACCGCCACGGGGAAATGGGAAACCAGAGAAGCCGGGGAGGGGCAGGCGGAAGTGCCCTCACAGCGGAACCGGAAATACGACACAGCGGACCGGAAGTGCCCCAGCTAAGCAAGACCGGAAGTAGTTACAACCTGGGAAGAATCGGTCCGTCTCGTAGGCAGTTGAAGAGGGTTTTTGAGGTGGGTTCAGCTGCGGAAGCTGGGGTGGGGCCGGCCTGGGGAAGAGGGCGGACTAAGTAAAGGCAAGCCTCGCCCGTCCTTCAAATGCCTGAGGAGCTCCGTGCTCTCCACATTGGTCCGGAGAGCCGAGCTCCATCTAGAAAGGGTAGGCCGGGGGTGGGTGGGGTGGGGTGGGGGGAGGGGAGGCAATTAGCGTTCACAGGGAGGCATGTCCATCGGGACGACAGAGGCGGTCTCAAGAGGGAGTGAGCTCTCTGACCCCGGAGAGGACCAGGCACTGGACACCTGCCAGCCAGGAACACCTGAGGGCCTCCCTTAGGTGAAAACAGCACGGAGGCTCCTGAATCCAGGGCCTGGGCTGCGCAGCCTGCTCCGGTGCCCCACACAGCGGCCCGGAGGGGAGGACAGGTTCGCCTGGGTCTCCGGAACCGCAAGAGACTTTTTCCTAACCTGCCTGCAGTGGCCATCAGCATCAGCTGGGAAGCAGACTCAGTTCTGCAGGCCATGTGAATTGTTTGCAATCATATATTTCATGCACTTCGACATTTTAAATAACATTGAAGGAGGATATAAGGCTTTATGTTTGAAAAGGCACCTGGGTTTATGAAGACTGAGATATTCCTCATCTCCCAGTCTCGGGCAGCCCTGACCTTTCACCAGGTGGGTTTCACCCAGGTACGCCGACCACTTCTCCCCGTGGATCCTCCACAGACACTCCAAAGGCAGTGCGGTCCCACTCTAACTCATCGACCGGCACTTTCCTGGGACGCCCCATCCAGTGAATAGCCTTCCACCTCTCTGCGGACATGAATCGACTCCCAAAGCATGGCTTTCCTACACCATTAACATGGTGACAGTCTGCCCACTGGTCACCCAGTCCCACTACTATCTGATCTGAACCAGCACCCCCAAACTGTTCCCTCCTTTCCTTCACTCAAGAAGGTGACTCTGTAGAAGGTGGCCTGGCCCCAACTCTGAGGGTGGAATCTGATCCATCGAACCCAAACTGTGTGGCTTTACTGGGTGGGCACAGGACTTAGGTTGGATGAGTCAGGGTGAAGGAAAGGACTTTTATTTCGCACTTGGGTAAAAGAATTCCCCTCCCTCCCTCCTCCCCTCCCTCCCTCGCTCGTTGGACCTCAGAAGGAAGTATGCAGGCATCTACCCCTGAAACGTGCCAGCCCACTTAGCAGCCCTCTGGAGTCGGCAGTTTAACTCCATGTTATGGTTGAGCAAACTGAAGTGCACAGAGGTTAGGTGATTACTTCAGGTCATGCAGAAGTGATAGGACAACGGTCAGAACAAAGGTCTTTCAGTCTACAAAGCCGTGTCCTTCCTAAGAGGTCAGAATGCCCATGGAATGCCAGGCTTTGGCAAAGTATTTAATCCTTGGCACATTTACACTGTGTACCAAGAAAGTATTATCCAATCACCCAAACACCCACTCATCCATTCATCCTTATACTTGCCCACCCCCCACCCCCCACACCTATCCGTCTCCTACCCAAATGGCCAGCCAGCTGTCCACCTATCCATTATCCATCCATATAATCACTGTATTGGCTACCCATTCAAATATCCACCCAGGCATCCTTCCATTTGTCTATTCATGCAAAATTTATCCATCTAAATATCCAGCCAGCTGACCATCCTTCTATTCATCCAATCACCTATTATTCACCCATTCATTTATCCAGCCAAACATCCACCCATATAACTAAACATGCATCCACCATCGAAACATTCAGCCAGACACTTGTCCTATTCATCTAAATATTCATCCATCCAAACCTCCATTCATTCATCCATCCATCCACATAGCTAACCACCTATCCATCAACTCATTGATCCAAACACCCATCTATCCAAACACACACATCCAAACCCCTACCCACTCATCTATCCAGTCAAAAAGTCACTCATCCATCCAAACACTATTCATCTACCCATCAATTCCTTCCAACATCACCCATCTAAACTGCATATAAAATATATACAATAAAATGTTCTTAAAGAATAAAAAGAAAAATATAGGGGTTGAAGAATAAAAGAAAGCTGGTGAAAGTATGCAGAAATACATTCAGTAATTCCAGCACAATTTCAAAAGGCAGGCCACAGATAAGGCTCTGAGCTTCCCAGAAGGCAAAGCAAAGAAAGAAACACAATCAGTTTCAGAGTCCCCACATCCATCAAGTGCACTAAGACCAGCTATTTTAATGGTGGCAGAACCTGAGAAAAATGTTTCTTCCCCTGATGACAATACTCATACACCCCATGCTGCCTGGCATAGTCCAGTGTTTGCCGGTTGTCTGGGTGTCATTATTAACAGCATACTTTTCACTATAAAAATGACAAACTATTTGATCACCATACTCTTAGGGCATAATAAAGAGATCGCTGAGAAGTCAGTAAAACAACGCTAGCCTGTTCCTTCCCTTGACTCCCCACAGTGGAGGCCAGTCGATACTAGTGGGTGAAGAGTGCTCACAGCTCTTACCATGATCCATCCCCCTGGAGTTCCCCTTCCATCCGAGTATCTCTTAAAGCAGTCAATTCCTTTCCGGTCCCCAGGCCTGAGTCTTCTCCAGGCTTCTGAGGCCAGCCTGCTTTACACCAGCATCCTGGGCAGAGACTATACGCTCACAAATGAGCCCCGCCCCCCTTATTTTCTGTGTCTGTGCCTTGCATTTTTGTTTTTTAACACATTGTATGCGGGAAACGTATTTATACGTTCTACCAGTGTAGTAGAGCGCGGGACACGTATTAATAATACGTTTTTTATAGACTAGCGGTAGAATGCGGGTAACGTATAAATACGTAAAGTTATCGTAATTTTACTGAACATTGCCATTTGCGCAAAAAATTAGCAAAAATGGCCCGCACCACCTGTTAGCGCACGATAAAAACTACCCGCAAACAATCACGTGAGCCTCCTCCTTGAATTCATATGAGATAAACACACAAACAAATCAACTGCACAAGGTCTCTGCCAAAGCAAGTGGGTTTATTACTGTGATAAACATCCATGGCCGCCAGCCCTGGAGGAGGCCCTGCAGACCTCCCAGGTGCTCTCAGGTTCAGACCAGGTTGAGAGAACGGTTAGAGCCAGGGAATGAGGAAGAAGATAGGGTGGGAGAGGATGAAGTAACAGAGGGGGCAGAGTCAAGCTCTCTGGGTGTTTATTTTTTTTTTTAAAATCCTCATCTGAGGATATTTTTCCATTGACTTTTAGGGAAAGTGGAAGGGAGGTGGGGGGGAGAGAAAGAAACATCATGTGAGAGAGACACATGGATTGGTTGCCTCCCACACAGCTTGGGGTTGGAGCCTGCAACCGAGGTACAGGCCCTTGACTGGGACTTGCACCCGGCACCCTTTGGTCTGTGGGCCGATGCTCTAACCCAGCTGTGGGCAAACTACGGCCCGCGGGCCGGATACGGCCCGTTTGAAATAAATGAATAAAACTAAAAAAAAAAAAAAAAAAAAAAGACCGTACCCTTTTATGTAATGATGTTTACTTTGAATTTATATTAGTTCACACAAACACTCCATCCATGCTTTTGTTCCGGCCCTCCGGTCCAGTTTAAGAACCCATTGTGGCCCTCGAGTCAAAAAGTTTGCCCACCCCTGCTCTAACCACTGAGCAACCGGCTAGGGCTGGATGTTTATTCCTAATGGACTGTTGTGGGTTGAATAGTGTCACCCCAAAAAGATGTGTTGATGTCCTAACCTCTGCTATCAGTGAATGTGACCTGATTTGGAAATGGAATCTTTGTGGATGTAATTAAGAGATCATATTGGAGTCGGGTGGGCCCTAATCCAATGACTGGTGTCCTTGTAAGAGGAGGGAAATTTGGGTACAGACACAGAGAGGAGGTTGGGACAGGGGAGGACGCCGTGGGAAATCACACAGACACACAGGGAAGAGGGCCATGTGACAACCGAGGCAGAGACGGGAGTGG